GGGGGGGCGGGGCGGGTAGCCGTCTGCCAACCTTTAAGGTAGTAGTAGAACAGGGGTTATTTGTACCAACCCGGACCTGATCCACCCTCAAGCGTTGTCTACTTGTTTTCCTCTCAGCCGTTTCATTGACATATGATCCACCTACCATACAGTTCGAAGGCTTACATCGATGTCAAAGAGCTGTGCGTTCACTCTTGTGTTCATTCTTATTCGCTCCTGGGCGTGATTGTGCCGAGCGGAGCAGCACTCATTTAATGGTCCCAACTACTCTACCTCTGGAGGGTCTACAGTCACTGCTGTTCCCAGCAGGTTGTCAGTAACAATTAGACAACAAATCGGAGCACTTCTGAAAAGGGGGGCCATTCAATGCGTGTTTTATCTAAAGGGACTCTCCCGACATCCGCCTGTGGGACAGTAGCAAGGATCAAAGACATGAACTGAGCCCTTTGGTATCCATTCATTTGCCCTTTCCGGCACTGTCTCCCCCACCAGGTGGCCATCAGGCGCAGGCCCAGTCTCTACGTCATCAACCTGCTGGTGCCCAGCAGCTTTCTGGTTGCCATCGACGCCCTCAGCTTCTACCTGCCGGCAGAGAGTGGAAACCGAGCCCCGTTCAAGATAACGCTTCTGCTGGGCTACAACGTCTTCCTGATCATGATGAATGACTTACTGCCCGCCAGTGGCACCCCCCTCATCAGTATGCTCCCTCTAACCTTGAGGCAGTGACATGGGGGCACAGCAAACTGAATGAGTTCAGGGAAGGGGACATATTGGACATACTGTGCCTGCCAGGGAGGGTTGGGCGGGGGTAGGGTGGGTCCTCAGTGGTGTCTGTGGCCCCCACACTGGCCTGCCTCCACCCCAGGTGTCTACTTTGCCCTGTGTCTGTCCCTGATGGTGCTCAGCCTGCTGGAGACGGTCTTCATCACCTACCTGCTGCACCTGGCCACCACCGAGCCCCCGCCCATGCCTGAGTGGTTCCACTCCCTGCTGCTGCTCTGCACCTGCCCGGGCAAGCGCTGCCCCACTGCACCCCACAAAGAACAGAAGGGCCTGGCTCTCACCCCCACCCACCTGCCTGGTAAGCAGGTGGAAGCCAGCACTGCCCTCACTGCCTCTTCCGATGCCTCCCCTCCTCTGCTCCTGCCTCCTTCCCCTCCGAGGGTGACCTTCCCAGCCATGGATGAGGCTCTCTCTGTCCTCTGCACAGGCCTGAAGGAGCCAGTGGAGTTGGTGGGAAAGATGCCCCGCTGTGGACAGGCAGAGCAGAAGGAGTCAGCAAGGACCCTGCAGAAACCCGAGACCCAGAAGCAGCACCTGATCGATCAGTGGGTGCAGTTCAGCCACATGATGGACACCCTGCTCTTCCGCCTCTACCTGCTCTTCCTGGTCTCCTCCATCCTCACCGTCATCGTCCTCTGGACCACCTAGGTAAACTTCTTCCTACAAATCACATCCTGGAGTTTCTCCTGGTCTAGGGCCTTCCCTAATCTGAGTCACTTCTCCTTAGTGACTACCACATCCCCATCGATATTCCAGGAAACTCCAAGAGAATGCTACCAAGGAGTTTCAGGATAGCCCAGGACAATGCCCTGACATCTCTAGCACCACATCTTACTCCTGCACATGTATGATTATAAATACATCAATAAATAATCATGATAATTTTAGGAGAACATGTATTAAGCCTTAAAAGGGACAAACACAACACAAAACACAGACATATCATCCAGATGAGGGAGGCCATTAGCATGGCATCCTACACCTGCACATTTAGTCTCCCTGAGCTGCTACCTGTCCTGACTCCCTTAGCGCTGGAGAGCCAGGTTAGTCAACTTTCTCCCTCCTTGATCACCCCAATCAGAACCTCTCTAGGGTGCACTGGCTCCTCACACATGTATTAAACGCCAACGTACTGCCTTCAAGGCAGTACTGACTCACAGGGACCCTATATGACAGGGGAACTGTCCCTGTGAGTTTTTGAGACTGGCAACTGTTTATGGGAGTAGAAGTCTGCCTCTTTCTCCTACAAAGCCACTGGCAGTTTTGAACTGCTGGCCTTGTAATTGCAGCCCAACTTGTAACCACTATGCCAGCAGGGCTCCCACACACGCTGTGACAGATCCATGAACCCCCGCACAGGGCACCCTCCTGCAGACGCTTCAGCACTCTACCCTAACCGAGTGTGCTCTGATTTGACTTTCAGGCTTTCAGACACGTTCAGAGTTCTCAAAGAAAAGATCAAGCCTCACTTGTAAGAAACGACTGTGTAATTTCCACAAATGCAAAGCGTTCCCTTCACCAAACCGTTTCCTTTCCCCCGTCCTTTGCCTCTCTCATTCCAGAAACTGTTCTTTATGCCAAAGAATATATTGTATTGTGTTTGGGTTGTTTGGTTTTTTTTCTCCTGACAGCTTCCTCTAATTCTGTAACATCAAACAGTGGTCCTACTGAATGCACGTGCTTGGAGGAGAGCCTGGAAGATCCGTTACGGCACCCAGTTAAAGGGTTCTCTGTCCATAAGAGACCACACAGACATACAAGGAAATGCTGTGCAGCCACTTAACGTGTGATCTGAGCTAATGCCTGGGACTAGCTCCATGATATACTAGAAAGGGTGAACGAGTTACAAAGCCATATGTAGACATAATTTCTGTTAAAAAATACATAGCTAAATAGGCTAAGAAAAAACTATAGATGGTTCATCACCAAAACATTAGTAAACTTCATCCTAGATAATAGGATTGTGAATGATTGCTATTTACTTTTATATCCTTGTCTGTGTTGTCAATAGGCATGTGCTCATTTGATTATTAAAAAAATAAAGCTATTTTTAAAGAGTTCTCTATTAATAATGATACTTCACACTTTCATCCAGAAATAACATCCTATAGAGAATTCTAACAGCTGGAAGCAGGTCCCTGAAGCAACACAGAAGTTTGACAGGGAAAAAGAAAGACACTAGACAAGTTCATTACAACTCCTGGGAAACGCCCTGAGTCAGTCTAATAGGACTGTTCTCTACAGGGGTTTCAACAAGTGGTGTTTGGGCCGTCGTGTCCCCCAGAGCAGTGGCTCTCAACCTTCCTCATGACATGACCCTTTCATACAGTTCCTCATGTGGTGGGGACCTCCCAACCACAAGTGGCGTCCTTGTTTCAAAAAAGGTGAAATATTCCATTGATGACAAACCTCAATCTGTCAACTTCCCAAACAGAAGAAAATGTCAATCCACAGTGCATTTGGAGTTGGTTCCACCGTGTCGGACTGTCAATCATGCTTTCTCCTTAGAGGTTTTGAAAAGATTGGGTAACAGTGTGTGATTAAAAAAAGGCCTGATATGTGGCAGACAGGGCACTGGTTTTGCCACACGACAAAGCACTTGCACATGAAGCCATCTCAGTGCACCAGTTCTTGGCAAAAAACATCATGCCCCTCTTGTCCCATGCACCTGACTCACCTGACCTCTCTGCATGCTACTTCTTTTTGTTTCCTCGAGAAGAGGGACCTGAAAGGAGATTTGAAGAAATTTGAAGATGTAGAAGAGGTGAAGAAAATGAGGAGGTGCTGTCAGCCATTCAAACATGAGTTTGAGAAATGTTTCCAAGAATGGAATCACAGATTTGACAGATGCATTAAGTGTAATGGAGAGTACTTTGAAGGTTATAAGGCTATTTGTTTGTGTTTTTATTTAAATACATAGCTTTGGGTGGAAAATCCTATTTTGGGGGGGGGGGTTTAAATAAACCTCATAAACCAAACAATTATAAAGACCAACAACAAAAGCATAGGTGCAACATTAAGGACCCTTGTTCAAGGTATAAACATGCTACTGAACATAATGAAAAATGCCCACAAAGTAAAGGACTGCCACCTGCTAAAGATACACCATTTATGCACATCAAAAGGCTTTATCAAAAGAGAGCCCACAAATTGGGAAAAATATTTAGGAACCATACATTAGATAAAGGGCTACTCTCCAAAATCTATAGAAAATTACAACATCTTAACAAGAAATTGCAAATAGTCCAATTGAAAAATGGGCACAAGACACGGATAGACAATTTACCAAAGACAACCTCAGATGAATAAATGTTCAAGTCCATTAGCAATAAGAGAGATAGAACTTCAAACAACACTTCATACTGACATTCTTAGCAAGAGTCCATAAAACAGAACAGTATTAGTGCTGGAGAGATAGGAATGCTTGTACCTTGCTGGTGGGACTGTAGAATTGTACAATCACCGTGTAAATCAGTATTGCGCTTCCTTAAACAAATGCAAATCCAAGTACTTTAAAAAAATCATTTTATTGGAGGCTCCTACAACTCTTATCACAATCCGTACATCCATTCATTGTGTCAAGCACATTTGTACATTTGTTGCCATCATCATTCTCAAAACATTTGCTTTCTACTTGAGCCCTTGGTGTCAGCTCTTCATTTCTCCCCCCCTCTCTTTCCCACCCTCCCCTCTCCCTCACCCTTGCTATTTATAAATTATTATTGTTTTTTCATGTCTTACACTGACTGATGTCTCCCTTCACCCACTTCTCTGCTGTCCATCCCCCAGGGAGGGAGTTATATGTAGATCCTTGCAATCGGTTCCCCCTTTCTACCCCACCTTCCTCTTCCCCTCCTGGTATAGCTACTCTCATTATTAGTCCTGAGGGGGTTATCTGTCCTGGGTTCCCTGTGTTTTCAGCTCTTATCTGTACCCATGTACATGCTCTGGTCTAGCCGGATTTATAAGGTAGAATTGGGATCATGATAGTGGGGGGGGGGGGAAGCATTAAAGAACCAGAGGAAAGTTGTACGTTTCATCAGTGCTACTCTGCACCCTGACTGGCTCATCTCCTCCCCAGCAAATCCAAGTACCTTTTGATCCAACAATCTCTCTCCAAAAAAGCCCAAAATACAAAAATCCAAACTCACTGCCATTGAGTGCGTTCTGATTCATAGTGACTGTATAGGACACTTTGGATTTCTAAGACTGTAACTCTTTACAGGTGTAGAAAACCTCATCTTTCCCCCAAAGCAAGCTCTCTGCTGGGCATATGACCTGAAGAAAGAAAGAATGCAACACAGACGTCTGCACATCTGTTTATTGCAGTGACTTCTCTAATAGCAAAAACATAAAACAACCAAAAATTCCAGCTATAGAGGAATGGATAAACGAACTCTGGTACAGCCACACCATGGAATATTATAAAATACAATCGCAACTCTCAAACACCATAAGACATGGACAAAATTAGAGAACATTATGCTTAGCAAGCTAGTCAATCTTAAAAAGATAAAATGTTTAATAATACCATTCTTATAATGAAAAGCAAACAAATGTGGTTTTTACACCAAAAGATAAGAATTTGATGATTACAAGGGACAATGGGGGAAATGGGGGGCGGTGCAGATAATAGGGAGAGGGGAATGATTGGCTATTGAGGGAGGGCGTAGGGATGGGAAGGAAGGAAAGAAGGAAGGAAGAGAATCACATTTATGGAAGTGTGAATGGGATGTTATTGCTGATTCCCTTTGTTGAGACGGTCTGTGTAACTACATGCAGAGTACTTCTTTAAAAAAACAAAATAATACTAAAAAGCGAGAGGGAAGGCTTATAGGCTGTATACCTCCAGATTCATTGCCGCTCGGGCCTCAATATTGATCCGAGTGACTATAAAAGGGGGCGGGGAATAAAAGTAAAACTGAAACGGATGTGGAGTCTTTAGTGACAGACAAGTTCATTTCAAGTCCGTAGGGGGGAAATGTCGAGTGAATAAATGTGTGAATGCAAGCCAGTCAACCAGGAGCCGGTCTTTTTCTAGCTCTGGTGGTGACTTCTCTATCCCTTTCTTGCATATTTTATTTTATTTTTCCATATTTGCTGTCTTCATGAAGGTTCTCTAGAGAAACAGAACCAGGAAGATGTGTGCGTTTGCAGAGAGAGACTCTAATAAATTGGCTCACTCAATTGTAGGGACTGGCAAGGCCAGAGTCTGTAGGTCAGAGACAGCCTGGAGCTGCTCGTGTCCCAAAATCAGGCAACAAAAAGAGTGGCAGCGCTCTGCTAAGTCTTCTATTTATAGTATGGAGACAGAATGTTCCCTAAAGAATACTTCCTTGTTTGCTCACAAAGTCTTCCAAAGAGTGGCTCAAGTCCGCCCACGTCATGGAGTGTAATCTGCTTCCTGTAGGTCAACTGCAGAGGAGGGCAACCTTTTTCTCCAAGGGCCACTCGGGTAGTGATAACAGTATGCTTGGGCCATACAAAATTATCGACTTAAAAATTAGCCTGCTCTAGCGGGTCACACCGGGAGCGCTGGGGGCATGTGGTTACATGTTGGGCTGCCAACCACACCACAAGGCCAGCAGTTGGAAACCAGCAGCCGCTCCTCAGGAGAAAGATGAGGCTTTCCACTTCCGTAAAGAGTC